TTGTTTGTAAATTAATTCATGCCTTAGGGACTTCATTTAAAATAGAATTCAATGATTTGAAGACTTATGTCTTGAAATTGGAAAAAGAAAGTAAAAGCCGCATGTTGTGAATCCAATCCACTTTCACTGAAGCTAGAGTTGATTTCCAGTCAAGAGATGACAATTGAGTTATTTATATAGACTAAGATGTTGATGCATGTATATTGAAATGTGTTTAACCAATTTTTGTATCAATGCTTCATATATGCATGGTAGTCTACTCAATGACCCCGTCTCCAGTCCTGTGTCTGTTTCGAGTTATATTTGAGCTATGTATATATTTCATTTTACCATAGTTGATTTTGTGGTAGCATTCCCATTGTTGTCATTTCATTGAGTTTTTCATTTTAGTTTTGCTAAGGGACTAGCAAAAAGTAAGTTTGGGGGTGTGATAAGCGCCGAATATTGCATATTCAAGCGCCTTTAGCTGCATTAGTTAAATCCATTATTTGATTATTCTTTATAAATTATCTTTATTTGCACGTTTTTATATATTTTCAGGTTCATTGGCCAAAAAGGAGCAAAAATGGTGTTTTATTCAATCTTTGAATAGCAATGTGCTCAAGGTTAAGTTCTGGCAGCAGTGGAATCTGACTTTGCTCGCCATTTTTGACCTATCAAACTTGAGAACTGGACTTCCATTAAAACATGACATATTTAGAGCTTTGAATTAACTTTCCAAATCTTTAAACGGTTCGTCATTTGGAGTTTGGAGCAGAAAGTTATGGCTGTTCTACCAAAGTAGTGCAAAGCAGGTCAAGAGGAAGGAGTATACTAGTCTAACTTCGAGCGCTCGAAGTGCTTAGTTCGAGCGCTTGAACTATGGGCAGACTACTCTCCGGGAACCATCACTTCAGCCCATTTGCACCTTGTTTCCTTCATCTCTGATTTCCATCTTTATGGGTTGGTTGGAGATGTCTTTTGGTGTGGTTTTGAGACTTGCTTGGTGGAGAGGAATGTCTACAAAAGGAAGAGGACCACACGTAACATCATATCTGATCTTTGCAAGATTTGTGGAGAGAGAAAGAGGAAGAAAAAGATAGAGTTCTTGAAGCCAAGGAAAGGGAGCTCGAAAATGGAGGTGGCAACCAAGCTTCTTCCTTCTTCTAAGGCTCCCATGGGTAACTAAACCTCCTTCTAGGGAGGTGATGAAGCCCCTCCCTTGTAAGCATGTCCTAGTATAGTTCTATTTTGGGGATTGCAATGTATAATCTTTGGTCTTTTCATGGTCTAGAGTATTTTGCCTCTTGTAATGGATCTTCATGTATTTAAATGATTAATGTTGAGTCAATTATCTATCTTTGATGGTTTATTCTTTTAATCATGTTGCTTGCACTCTCATGGTGACAATGGTAGTGAGATCATGAATTGGTTTAATGGCATGTTGATAAGGACTTTGATAGATCATTGCTTAGGTGAAACCTTTGATGATTTATGCTTATTTCTTACCTTCATGTGCTTCATCATTTTATCTAGGGCTTGATAGTCTTTCATTCAAGTAAATGTGGTTAAGCTACACCTTAGTTAGGTAGTCTAAACATGTTAACCTTTGATGGATTATGCTTGCTTCAGATTTAATGAACTTCGTGAGGATATTATAGCAACCAAGTGTTGCCATGTATCATGACCATAATATATATTGTTTTTCCCCAATTTAGCTCTAATCTAGCATGTGTATAGGGATGGAGGCAGATTCACTTCCATAGTCCTCTTTACTTGTATTTCATCTCCCTTAAACTCTTGCAAACTTTTACTTTATGCACCTTAATTTCATAGCTTAAGTGACAACCAACAAATCCTCTATGAACACCCCATATCATTCTAAAAAGACTCTAGACATTTAGGTTGCCATAGATTAGCGCAGTCCCAGTGGTTTGACTTACCTGACCAATAGCCCTATTTTACAATGATTTGTGCTATTGCGAAGATTGATTTATAATTGTAATCGACTCAACCGATCACTTATATAATAAATTAATCCTTCATAAGTCATTTAACTTGTTCAGCTGACCTGACTTGAATATAAGTAGAATTTAACATTTTAGTTAATCAATTCCCTTATATAAAATAGGTAGGACTTAACTGATAAGTTAATCCATCTCTAGAATGCCACTGTCCCATACCGGTGCATTAAACCACACAATCCAACAATTGATGTAACATTTAAGGAAATACATCAAACAATTCAGAAATAACTATGATAATATGATATCAAGTTATCACAAAATATGAATGACTTATTATTTATTTAAGCTTGCTATATCATATGTCCCACACAAATTGAATCTTATACATGATGATATTTTATTATACCGTCAAACAAGTATTCTCCATATCCAATTTATCCTACACATTTAATCTTAATTGTTAAAACATTTTAAAAGATTAAATCCATTGGTTTGTTTAAAATATTCAAATAGCAAGCATCATTATGATTGAGTCTATTTAAATTTATTTAAACCCAAACCTAGTTCCTATTTAATATTCAGGAATCCTAAGCATGTTTCTACGTTCCATCATTCCACAGATATGAAAAATACATAATGTAAACATATAAAAATTCACACCGAAAATCTAATCAAAATTATGCATTTATCAATTCAACACAAGAACAGATATGAACCAATTTCATAAAACCTATGTTCTAATCCAATTAAACATGCATAATTATTTTATTTTGTGTGTTTAATAAATCATTGAACTTCCTAGGCATGCATAGAAATATAAATCAAAAGGAAAGAGATAGAAGAAGAACTTGCCTTAAACTTTCGGATCGAAAGTTACACTTCTTCTTCCTTGATCTTCTCTTTACATGGTTTTTCTCCTCATTCCTTCCTTAATTTTTTTCCTTCCCTCTCTAACTTTCTCTCTCTAGAATATATCACATGAATATTTATGACCGCCTTTTACAACCTATAGCTATATATTTATAGGCTAAATAAAATAACCCTAACCCTTTTCTAAATCCAAGTCAACTTAAAAAAAATAAATATTAAAAAGGTAAATATTAAAAAGGTAAGTAAAATATGTTACGTATATAATTTATGTATATCTTTATTAAATAAATAAATTACACACATCCCATTATTTATTAATGAATTATCTAATAATACTTGAGTTACCATAATATTATAAAGTAACTTAAAACATAACACGTATCAAATCTATGTATATTTTTATTATTTAAATATAAAACATATACATCAGATTAAATATTAGTACCCAAGTTACCATAAAATAATTAATAAATTATTTTCCCTTTTATATATATTAAAAAGGTAAGTAAAATATGTTACGTATATTATTTATGTATATATTTATTAAATAAATAAATTATACACATTCCATTGTTTATTAATGGATTATCCAATAATACTTAAGTTACCATAATATTATAAAATAACTTAAAACATAACACGTTTTAAATCTACGTATATTTTTATTATTTAAATATAAAACATATACATCAGATTAAATATTACTATCTAAGTTATCATAAAAGTAATTAATAAATTATTTTCCCTTTTATATATATATTAAAAAGGTAAGTAAAATATGTTACGTATATAATTTATGTATATGTTTATTAAATAAATAAATTATACACATTTCATTATTTATTAATGGATTATCCAATAATATTTAAGTTACCATAATATTATAAAGTAACTTAAAACATAACACGTATCAAATTTATGTATTTTTTTATTATTTAAATATAAAACATATACATCAGATTAAATATTATTACCCAAGTTATCATAAAAGTAATTAATAAATTACTTTCCTTTTTATATATGCATATAATATGTATCTATATATATACATACACAACTATTCATGGGGAATAATCCATACACATCCAACCTCCTATCCAAGTAATCCATGGGACCCAATTGGTTGGCCCATTACTACTGACCATAACCATAAAAGAAAAATAAAATAAAATAATAAAAGAAAAGAAAACATTTAATTTATAATTAATCAAAACACCATTTAAGCACATAATCTAATTAAATAATTAACACATAGATAAATACAAATAATACATAGACACATAATCAAATAATCAAGTAATATCTAATTCAATTAAATACATAAGCAATTAATCAAATAATCAATTAAATAATTAAAAATACAATTAAAACAAATAAATAAATACCGAGACTATCCTTTTAAAATTAAGGGTATTACAACTCCAATGAGCAGAACACCATAAGATCAGTTCTTTCCAACTAGATGGCTAAATGTACAACCCAATTGTGTGTTGAATGAATGACCACACCACCCTTGAGAACTCACACTGGAAGAATAGATGGTCCACGGATTCATTGTTGGCTAGGCAAAGAAAGCAAGCATTGATGTGATGTTTGTGCTTCAAAGGTTTTCTGTCAAGAGTGTAGAGTCTTCCTTTTGTTGCTAACCAAGTAATAAAGCTATGCCTAAGAATATGATGTTTAAACCAAATGGTCTTGTGCCATGGGAAAATGAAAGTGGGAGGGAGGAGGTATTTGATTGTATGAGCAAGGGAAAAATTGCAACTAGGTGAAGGTAACCATAAAATTGTATCAGCATTAGTTGAGTGTGAAAGTCTTGTGATTGAAAGAAGGGAATATGACCAAATGAGTCAGGAACAACCCAATGATTCAAGGAAATTAGCCTATCAACTTTGACTCTCAAGTCCAGTTGAAGCATTTCCCCATCATTAAAGTTGATCTGATTGAGCAAAAGCCCATTTGGAAGCCAATAATCTAACCACATCATGGTATCAGTGCCTTTCCCTACCCTATGCCTAAGTAAACCCCTTGCTATATCTCTCAATTTCAACAACTTTCTCCAAAATCCAGAGCTTAAAGCTGTTGGTTTCACAGCCCAAAAGCTCTTAGTTCTGATCAGGTACCTATGTGACCAAGCAACCCAGAGGCTATCTTTCTTTCTAGCAAATAATTTCCAAATGTGCTTCAAATTAGCCTACAAACCATATCCCATGCCACCTTAGCACAAGAAGCCTTCAGTTCAGGGCCTGACCAGAGAAATCTCTTTAAAACTCTATTAACATCTTCAATGACCTTCTTAGGTAAGACAAAAGCTTGTGCCCAGTAGCTTTGCATAGAACAGAGTATGGATTTAACAAGAACAGTTCTGCCAGCAAAGGAAAAAAACCTTAAAGTCCATCTTTTCACTCTTGCCGTGATTTTCTCTATAAGGGAAGTACAATCTGTTGAGCTAAGGGTTTTTGATGTAAGTGGTAATCCCAGGTATGATACTGGCAATGAACCAGTTCCAAATTGAAGTAAGGCTAAAATATCAGCTTTGGTTTGACCATCAACACCAGAGAAAAAGGCAAAGCTCTTTAATAGGTTTATGCTTAAACCAGAAAATTCAAGGAATTGTTTAAGGGCCTGGAAGACAATCTGAACTGAGGACAAACTCCCATGAGAGAACAATAAGACATCATCTGCAAATGCAAGGTGGGATAGGGCCAGTTTGCTTCATCTCCAGTGATACTTAAAAGTAGGGTTGCTCACTATGGCATAATTCATGGATTGGGTGAGGACCTCCATTGCAATGACAAACAATATAGGAAAAATAGGGTCCTCTTGCCTAATCCCCCTTTGACCTTTAAAAAATCCAAAGAGTTCACCATTGAGGGATATGGAATAGGATGGTGTGGTAATGCATTGGGTGATCCATTGGATAAGAGATTCAGGAAATCCCATAAGGTTAAGAGTATCAATAATGAATTGCCAATGAATCCTATCAAAAGCCTTTTTAAGATCCACTTTCAGTGCACAGCTAGGGGGATGTGAGGACCTATGGTACCCATTAAACAGCTCATGAGCCAAGATAACATTCTCAGAAATATGCCTTCCTTTCATAAAAGCATTCTGAGTGGGACTGATTAAAAAAGGTAAGGCTGTGCTAATCTTTAAGGCAATGATTTTTTAAATACATTTGTAAATAAAATTGCAACATGAAATGGGTCTAAAATCATGGACTGTTGTGGGATTTGGAATTTTAGGCACTAGGGAAATATATGAGCAATTGATTTCAGTGAGCAGTTTTCAAAGATAGAGAAGTCCCTAATGGCTGCTGTGACTTCTTGACCAATAATTGGCTAAGAATGAATGATAAAACTTGAGTTAAATCCATCCGGACCTGGACTTTTAAAAGGGTGAAAGGATAGCAAGCATTGTCTAATTTCACTATGTGATACCCCCTAATTTTTGGAACACGGGTTGATCAAGTCCGCGCACAAAACCAGGGGATATCAAAACAATTAAAGTATTTTAAACAAGCACAGAGTACAAAAAGAAAATAAAAAGAATAAATAACTCGCTGAAGGAAAATCTATTAAATAATAAATCCATTAATAATTCTCCAATGGTTACAGCTCGGGAATCCTGTAATTCAAGGACCCTTTAACCAAAATCCACTATCCAGAAATTCATCAATACATACTGAAGTAATAATATCCTACTTTGAAATAAAATAGAAAGAATGGCTAAGTCCTCCAGCTGCGGATCCTCAACCTTGAGACTTAGAACTTCTAATAACCTGAAAAATAAATCGTGGGTTAAACCCTACGAGCAAGTTCACTTTACCAAGCCTCTGAAAACCAATAAGCAGATCATCTCTGATCAAAACCAAACCTAATAAATTTTTAACTTTAATAAAGCACGATATACATAGCTACATATAATTATATATACTATACTAATCACATCCATTAATAGGTTTATTAAATTTTCATACCTATTAAATAATTATTAGAATAATAATCATTCCTAAACCAATCTACCATTTATTTTAAAAAGAAAACTCCTTGAAGCTTAACCCCATCCTAGTCAATTGTTTAATCATTTAAACAATAAATTATAATAAAAAGAATATTATATTTAATCCTAAAATCCGATAATGATTTTAATTATTTAAATCACATATGCAAAATCTAAGTTTTGACAAATCATCCATGTCTCCACCAGGATTATTTTATTAATATACATAAGATAATACACTAACCTGTAAGTACTAGATTATTCTAATTTAAGAATATCTAATTCTAATCCAACCTATACAGACAATAACTATAGATGATATTTTAATCATCCAACACACAACAATATAATTACACTTTGGCAAATCAACCATGCCATTATAAATATATTTATTTATATATTGGCAACTCAACCATACCTCCTTATGTATATATATTTATACTTTTAATTAGCAACTCATCCATGTTTCCAATGTATGTGTTTTATTCATACAAATATTTAGGCTATATATTTAAGCCTCTGGCAACTCATCCATGCCTACAATTCAACCATGTACCAACTTTTAACTTAATGATGAACTAAATCACACATAGACTAATGTCATGCATTTCATAACCATAACATTACTTAAATAACCAGCCTATCCAAATATACCAAATAAGAATAATTTATATTAATCATCTTAAATGATATATATATATATATATATATATATATATATATATATATAGACACACACACACACACACACACACACACACATATTATATAATATGTAAATATGTATAATACCATCCATAATAATATTTGATTATTTAAATCATATATATATATACACACATCCATCCATCCTTATCCTAAACAATTAAACCATATATACATATATATAAATAATATTATATATATATATACTTCCTTCCATAACAATATATTAATTTAATTATATTTACTTAATTTAAATGTTACTAAATCTCGTCAGAAATAGTTTCCCATAAATACTCCATCTCGGTAAATAATTTTTCGACACTATTCCACTAAAACATAAATATCTCCTAGTATGATGGGAATCCGATAACGAAATCAGTACCATTGGAAAGAGGACGAAAAATCGTTAAATTTGAGCTCAAGAATGACCTAATTTGGATTTAAGATGACTAAGTTATGACCGTTTCAATTTCAAGTAACAAAACAAGCAACACAATACGTTGAGCTCAATTGCTACTGTGAGCGCGACCACACCGAATGATAATTCAGTTGACTAGACCAAGTCAACGGTCCTAAAGCGCAGACGCACAGAACTCCATGCGCCGCGATGCACCAGATCTCTTTTCTGTTGACAAGACTACACCAAGGGCATAGATCAGTGGTGCATTGAATCCCATGGACGTCCACCACATCGAATCAATCCAATTATATTAAACTAATCCTATGGTCTACATCAGCGCACTCACCCTTGTACCATAAGCCGGGCTTCACTGGATTACAGCCCCCTCTTTCATGCGCCGTAACCCAGATTACATAAACAGTATATATATTTATTCATTTATACACAATTTTCCAAATAAATAATAGGAAAGGAAATCTAATAAATTCCAGAAAAATATATAAAAATACCAGAAAATTTCAGAAAAATATCAAAAATTTCAGAAACCATCTTTACCCTCTTGAATCATAGATCAACCTATAAATTGATTTTAAAATATATATATACAACATCTATATATACAATTAAAATCTAATAATTCAAAACTAAAAATAAATCATAATTCATACTTTTAAATAATCTGATCTAAACATAATTTAATCAAATTAATTTAAGTTAATGTTTTTTTTTTTTTTTACTCCATTCTAACCATGATTTAAATTAATAATTTAATTAAAATCTTGATACTCAAGGTGAAATCCTTATGGGTTCTAAGAGGAAAATTAGAGAAGAACTTGCCTGAAGGTTTCGAAACGAAACTGACGCTTCAAGCTTTGATTGTCTCTTCCAATTCCGGCATCCTTTTTCTCAGATTTGGTCTCTTCCTTGCCGGCCTCCTCTTCTTCTCTTTCTCTCTACTTCTCTTATTTTTTCTCACGTGTAAACTTTTAACCCTAAAGCTTTATGTGTATTTTTATACATCTTAAATTCCAAATCCTATTCCAACTAGGACTATGAATTAAAATAATAACCTTTAAATACTATATATCTATAAACATATATTATATTACATACATATATATATATATATATATATATATACACCTTCCATAATTAATCCATTAGTTAATTAAATCATATATACCTATATATATATCAATAAATATATATATATATGTCCTTCCATAATACCTATTAAATATATAATTAAATATATATTTATAATTATACAAAAATAATTATTAAAATAATCACTTAACCATGAGTCTTTATTAATTAACCCAATAAGGCTCCATCCAAACCCAATATCACATCCATTGGTCCCACTCCTCTTAAGCCCAAATCCAATTAATTTAAATAAACTAAATAATTAAATAAATACTTAAATTAAATAAATAAATAAATAAAAATTAATTACACTAAGCACATAAACAAAACAATAAATTACAACCAAGTCACATCATACAAATAAAATTAACATGCCAACAATTCAATTAATAATCAAACACACGCACACAAATCATCATATCAATTCAATAAATATAATCACAAAATAAAATCTAATTAAAATGAGACAATTAATCTAAACACTCAATTAAATAAAATAAATCATTTAAAAATAAAATAAAATCCATTAATCCCAATTAATAAATCTTTTAAATTATCGGGGTATTACACACTATCAGTAGGAATTGCTGATAATGAGGGAATAAGGTTGGATGGAACAGTTTTGGTAATGAGATGAGAAAAGGATGCGATACCTATGTATTGTTGGTAAGGTTGACCAATCAATCCCATAAAATGATTGAGAAATTCCTGCTGCAGTTCGTTACCATGAAGCTGAACCCCATCAGTGCTTGTTAAAGTTTCCACTTTTCTCCTATTACACTTTGTGGAGAAATTTTTCATGAAGAAAAAGGTATTCTGATCCCCTTCTTTCAACCAGTGTATTTGAGCCTTTTGTTTGTAGAATAACTCCTCAGCTAAACACCATTCAGAAAATTTGCCTACCAGTTCCTTTTCTTTGCTTCTTAGCTGATCATCCATGGGATTAAGGTCTAAGTTGGATTGACAAGAATATAGGTCCTCTCTACAAGCCTGAACTCTGGCAGAAATATCACTGAATTCTTTCTTGTTAAGCTGCTTAAGAGGTCCCTTCAGAGCTCTAAGCTTCTGCACAACTCTAAACATTTTAGAACCATGAACCTCTAGCTGCCACCCTTGAGACACAATTGAGAGAAAATCCCTGTGTTGAGTCCAGAAATTGAAAAATCTAAAAGGCAGGTTCCTTTTCACACTAACTTCACCAATGCTCATTATCATTGGAGCATGATCTGAGACTCCCCACGGCTTGAAGCAACATTCAAACTGAGGAAATTTTGCCATCCAAGCTTGATTAGCCAACACTCTATCTAACTTTCTTGAAATATTTGCACATCCAAAGCTTTTGTTAGTCCAAGAGTGAAAAATACCATGATATCTTAAATCTTCAAGCTCATTCTTATTCAAGCAGGTCTTGAAGTCCTCCATTCCAGGAGTCCAACTGAGAGCACCACCAAAGGAATCATTGACATGAAGCAATACATTAAAATCACCCAAAAGGACCCAAGGCACATTAGCTTGACCATGTAGGTTAAGACATCTCCACAAACCTTTCCTTTCCAAAGCAGTGTTAGCTGCATACACAAAGGAAGCTAAACACCTAATCTTCAAATCAATAAGGAGAATAGAGCAATTAATGGCTTGACTTGTTGTACTGGAGATAGAGACTCTCAGTTTTTGTGTATTCCAGAGCAGCCAAATCCTACCTAGGACGAGTAAGTGTATTCCAGTTGGGAGCAATCACTTTATGAACTGTCTCAGTATTTTCAGGACTAATTTTTGTTTCCAGCAATGCAATTAAACTCAAATCTGAATCTCTAATAAGATTCTTGACCTCTACTTGTTTGAGGGGAGAGTTCAACCCTCTTACATTCCATGTAGCCCAGATCATTGAGAAGAGTTAGAGAGGCTACAGATACCCCTAAACCCCTTCAAGGTAACAACTTTCCCCTTACCATGCTTCTTCTTATTTTTTGAGAATTTTGGTTTCCTTTGTTGTATCATTCGACCCTCCACTGGAGAGTAAGCTGGATCATAATTATCACTCTCACAAGCTGAGGACTGCTCTATTTCATCACCTACATCTTCCCCATTCTCCTCTAAGTTTTCAAAAGAGAGAACATCAAAGGAATTAGCTGTGGCCAGGGGTTCAGGACTCTTAGTCCTTCCAGGAATACAAGGCAATGAGAGGTCCACATATAAGCAAATTTCTTTCCCCTTCCCTGAATTAACAATCTCAGGTGGGTGTGAAGCAAGTGAAGTGTTGTCTTGACCATTGGGTGGAGAATTATTCATAGTCTCAGGTGGTTGAGTAATTGGTGTGGTATCATGGACAAGAGGGGGATGGTTACTGGTGGATGCGGAATTACAGTTAGAGCGGGAAGTATAAGATTTTGGGGACTTTCTAGAGACCATTACCCATTCTTGAGTTTGGGCAGTTGTGCATATATCAGTGGTTATAGGTGTTGAGCATATAGTTGTGCAGTTTGTAGAAACATGTCCAAATGAGTTACAAGTAAAGCAAGAGAGGGGTTTCCAGGGTTACTTTACCTGAATTTCAGCTAGAGTTCCATCTTTTTTCTTCACATGGAAAGAGTTATCAAGTGTGGATTGAGGAGAAATTTCAACACAGATCTTGGCATAGTCCATTCTGCTTTTGTTGATTGTATTCTTGTCCGCAAAAAGTGGCTTTCCAATGGCACTTGCAATATAACTCAATCCCTTAGGGGACCAGAATTGGAAGGGGATATTATAGAAAAGAATCCAAATTGCCAATGAATTGACAAGAGGATTTTGCTTTCGAGGTTCAGGAGACCAAGCCTGTAGAGTCACTGCCTTACCAGCCAAGTACCATTGTCCTCCTGCTAAAATGTTTCTGCAACTCTCCACTGAGTCGAAGGTGAAATAGAAGGTTCCATTTGTGCTCCCAACAACCTTCAAAAGCCCTCTGTTAGACCACAATTTGTGTGCCATCCTGGCAATGAGCTTGTAAGACATCCTTTTCTGAAAGGTTCCAACCAAACAAGATTGCCACTGCAAAGCTCCTTCCTCTTCGATTCCGTCCGGTAGTTCCACAATTTTCCCTCCTTCACTGTTTTTTGGTTCATGGTAATCAAAGCTCCAATTCTCATTTTGAGCTTGGGCAATTGTAGCCCAAGATATAGGTGAGCTGACCGAGGCATGATGGGGGGAGCTCTCAGAGGCCAGCGAACATTCAGTTGGTGGGATGGAGTGTTGGGTAAATTTTTGAGGTTGGTCAAAGCTCTGTTCCATTACTTGTTGAGGGGCTTGGTCAGAATTTAGTTGTATCTGGTTCGGATGGAACGAGAATAAATGAGAGGGCTCCTGCTCTGAGGTGAGGGAATTGTGCAGAGTCTGAATTTGACAAGAGGTGGTGGGTGAGGAGTTGTCACCTCCGGATTTGACTGCAGTGGTTACCACATTTTGAACTGATCCCTCAAAAGCCGGGAATTTTGAATTTGAATTAGAAGTCGTTGGGTCCAGTTGAGTCGTAGGTGATTTGGAAGGCGCGTGAGCCACACCCTTGCTTAGTGAGATCTCCGCCGGTACCGGCCTGAGCGAAGCTACAATCTCCTTCAATTCCAGCAGCAATGCGGATGCATTCGAAGCCTCATTAATCAATCCATGCGCCCTTTTAAGCTCTAAATCCTTCTCATGCAGCAGTGCCTTAAGTCTTGCAACTTCTTCGAGAAGCTCCAGCTTAGAAGCATCCATGATCGCCTCATCAATGCCCTCGGGAAGCAAGACCACATCACTAACCTCCAGTCCTTTGGGATTAAGGATTCTATCATGTTGTAGTGCCCGCCGTACTCTGTCCTTTGTTGCACCTGTGACTGAAGGAGGTCTCGGAAGATAGTTCTCTGTGATCCTGTCGTTTTTGATGATGGAGAGAGAACGGGAGGAGTGTGAGGTTGAGGTTTTTGAGGTAATGGTGGTTTACATGGCGTGAGTTGTTTGTGAGGCAGAGGAGGTTTTCTTGTATTAGGATTAGTTGGTAAAATTTTATTGACTGGACCAAGTGTGAGAGGAATGGAGATGGGATTGGATGAGGATGGGGATGGGGATGGGGAATAACTTTTTTTGGACTGGGGGAGTGGATGGAAAGGAGGTTTCAGGTGGTTGGGTGGTCGGCGAGGTGAGGATAATTTATTCATAATTGTAAAATTGTATACTGAGGATAATGTATACTGAGGATAATTTATTCATAATTGTAAAATTGTTTGTTAAAAATGTCTGAACTGATTTTAGGAACAATAAATTATCCTCAGTATACATGCTGATCACTGTCTCGCTACCCACTGTAACACCAGTTCCATCTACGAGTATGAAGGAAGCTCTCTCTCGCCAATGACTCCATAAAGAAGCTCAATCTCAGACCGTGATGCGATCAATGGTATCATCAATCAAATTGGTCACACAAACTCATACATTAATTTATACATTTCCATACGTGTGTATAATATAGATACTTATTTTGCTTGGCCATGGCAGTCATCAACCAAATTGATCACAAAAAAAGCACACATTTATATATTTGCATGTGTGTACATAAAATAGATATTAGTTTTGCTGATTTTGATGTTTTGGGTATTTATATATTTGCATATGTGTACATAAAATAGATATTAGTTTTGCTGATTTTGATGTTTTGGGTGTTCGAATGCATGGTGTTTGATGAATTGACCTGTATAATTACACTTGTGCAATTTCCTTTAATCTGAGCTCGTTTGATCACTAATATCTGCCATTGATATAATTGGGTCATATTTCAACACTTGGCCATTTGTTACGGTCACCATCTTTTGATGCTCCGCATTTCAGAGTAAAAAATTTGATGCTTTGACAATATGTCCATCTCCTAAATTATCTTCCCAGATATTATCATGTCACTTTAGTTCTCAATTACATATATGTGTGTGTGTGTGTATTCACGGCAATATCATTTGAGGCTAACCTTTTATGCTGAAGTTCAAGCAGTAAGAAGAAAGATGAGGTCTTTCTTGATTTTTCTTGTGTGCTCTGAGGTTCTTGGCAACTACCATATTCTCTGTGTGGCTCATTTGTCCCCAAATGACGCATACCCATCAGGGTATGGTGGTGATTGCGTTATAGCTGGTGAGAATTTGAATCCTTCGAGGAGGGAGGTTTTTGACAGCAGAAGAATATTTGATATTACCCATAGATTTACTCCTGAATCGCCCTCCGAGGACTTCGAAGATGGGATTGGACAATTCCTTTCCCTTTCTATGAGCACGAAGAATGGCTCCGATTATAATCTCTCTATTTTGAAGATAGCTGTTCATACTGGTACTCATGTTGACCTTTATCTTCAATCGATTTGGCATGGAAATATAATATTTTGTATTGGAGATGCTGATGGCCTTTCAAAGTCAAAATATAGCAAGCGGATGAAAATAAGACACACTCCAATGCCAAATATAACAATTCTCAAAAGACCTCTCATAATTTTATATTTTTCTTATTAGTTCTAATTTAAATATATCATTTTGAATAAAATGTATCATTGGAACATAATTACTCAAATATAGCATTTTGACGTTGTAACTCCTCTCAAATATGTACTTGGCATGGAACCATACTATTTTGCATTGGAGATCGATACTCTAAAGATCTAAGCCCATTTTCAAAAAATAAAAATAAAAAATAAAACCCTAATCTAATTTCAAATCTTTTAGAGGGTGATCTAAGGCATTTGCTTACTCAGTTTGGTTTCTTCTTTTCCTTGTGATAGTAGGAATTCGTTTAAGCAAGGAAGAATTCGTTTAATAAACGGGGTACTACGAAACCCTAACCCCTAATAATGTATATAAGTTTTTAGTCCAACATAATGTAAAGAATTTTAGTGTAGTCCATACACGCAAACAAGTTAGTTATTTAAATAATATTCCCTATCATTATATATATATATAAAAAGTGCATATATCTTGTATTTTGAAAATTTATGCAAATTACCCCTGATCAATAATTTTGATCAATTTTTTTCTAGAACCACAAAATACTCTTAAGGGAATTTTAGATTTTTTTTTTTTTTTTTTTTTTTGAAAAAATAAATAAAATATGGGGTTGTTATTAATATTCCTTATTTTTTATTGTTTTAAATTTAAAATTATTATTATTATTATTTATATATTTATTTTTATTTAGTCCCAAAGGCATTTTAGTTTTGAAATTGAAGAATTGCCTTTATTTGCACAAATTAAAAAAGGGATAATTCCATAAAATGGAGTTTTAGGAGTCAAAGGACAAAATAATGGACTCAAAATTAAGTTTTCTAAATTAATGAAATTTTATAAAAGTCTGATGTGGATGTGAAAATTTATTGTATATCATATTTTTATTCCCAAAACACCTTTCTCTCATATTTAGAAAGAGAAACTCATCTATGGCAACCCTTCTTCCCAAATGAACAATCCGGTTGCCATCTCTCTCTTTCACCCACCTTACCGACAAAACCATTTGAAAAAAAAAAAAAAAAAAAAAAAGCAACAAATCTTTGTTTTCCCTCCCACGTTTCCTCAAAAACATCCTTTCCTCCAAACTCGATTTAAACCCAAAATCCATATCAGATAAAAGAAAAATCAAGATCCAAGCTGAGATTCAAAAACCCAACACGAAACATCATGAAAAAACCAACACAATCCTCTGTAATGGTCGATCCACGGCTCGGCAACACAAAAGGTTGATGCAAATGTGGATCCACAAGAAATCTTCAAGTGGGTCTGTGAAATCCAAGTCACATCATAAAAATTGGAATATTCACAAATGAGAACTAGGCCTCTCTCTATTTTTCTTGAAGGTTTACAGTATCAAAGTAGCAAATATCTACCTTTTCAAAAAAAAAAAAAAAAGTAGAAAATACCTCTTAATTTCTAGGGTTTGGTTGAACTTGGTGACGTTAGCGAGTGCTTGGGCGTAGCTTTCGGTAGTGCAGTCGGCCATCCTGGCTTCACCGCATCATTTTTAGGTGATTTTGACAGTGTGTTTCAGGAGAAGGCAAGTTTGAGAGGATTGGTAAAGAAGAGAGGGGGTAGTAGCATAATTTTATAGCAACTATAAAAGGGTATTTTGGAAATAAAAAGATGATGTACAGTAATTTTTCATGTCCACCACTCGCCGCCTTGCCATGCCTTTCCTTTCCTTTCCAATATTCCTTTCTGAAATTAGGAATTCATTGAAGGGTTCTGAAATTAGGAATTCATTGAAGGGAAGAAAGAATTCTTTTAAAGAACCAAACCCAAGGATCGGTTCTCTCTTTCCGGTTCGGTTCTCTTGTGGTCGTGGTTAAAGATGGTGAACCGAAGAACGCAACAATGGTCCACACGGCGAGCTTTTTTCAGAGAATTGCAAATCCCATATGAACCATCTGATACGGT